TTAACAAAAGAATTGTCAATGAATTCTTTTGTTATATCCTCCAACATGGCCGCCCTGTCTTTTGTTATTTAATTCTCTTGGGAATGGTTGAAAACCATCAATACATTCTTAGTTTCCAACTACTCAACTCACATGTTGAATGTTAAGGATTGATACTGGACTAGAAAGATATTAATCATTTGTCAAGGTCGATTATATTCACCTGATGGAGGAAAGCTCGAGGGATTTGATATTTTTTACTGACTTCATTAAAACCATTTCTTTCAAGACGCGGTACAAGAAGAAGCAGTTGATCTGGCGAACAAGAAAGCATTGTCCAGAATTACGCGTCTTTCGGAAACGATAGAACGTTAATAATTATACCAACGTTTAATTGCTATGAAATGTTTGTCGATGAGAATTCAAAAAATTAATTATTCTCGTCTTTAAATATATAACTGGCTTCTCAATTCAACGGAATTCGAGGTTTTCAATTTTGTGGCCAATCTCGTACCCAGAGCCTGCGTTTCTTCTGGCCTGCAGCGAAGAACGAGGGCTCTGGCATAATCCATTTTTTGAGACCAGGATTTCTTGGACTTCCGGTTTAAGAGCGCATGCGTTCAAAGACTTGCCAAAAATTAAAATTATTTTCCCGATTTCTAATTTTTCCTATGATCTTTACTTTGATTTTTACTTTGATTTTTGCTTTGATTTGATTTTTAATTTGATTAATTTGATCGGTTATATATCTCTTTTTCGAAAATTGCGCATGCGCCAAAAAATGGATTATGCCAGAGCCCTCGTTCTTCGCTGCAGGCCAGAAGAAACGCAAGCTCTGGGTACGAGATTGTTTTGTGGCCCGTCAAGTTGGATGCGCACGCAAGCTTGAGAAAACGCTCTATGCCGAAATAGAATTAGTAGCTATACAATAGAATGAATAAAACAGCTTTTTCCTTGCGCAGTTCAGTAATAAAGCACTTAGGAAGCGTGCTCCTCCTTAAACTTCTTTCGTGCTTACATCACTTCCTAACTGCTTTATTACTGAACGGAGCACAGAAAAAGCTGCCTGTTTTACTTGTTAAATATATAAATGGGTTCTAGCTACTTACAGCTATCAACATCAATACAGGTGTAACGAACGACCAGATAAAATCATTATCGAAACGAATCCAGCAACTGATTAAAAAATGAAAGCGGAAGAATGTTGAATTAGTTTAAGTAACATGAAAGAAAGAAAGAGAGAAGAACAAAGAAATTAAAGGAAAAAAAAAAAGGAAATAGGAAGAAACAAAGAAAAAGAGAGACGAGAAAGGAGAGACGTACAAAGCAAAAAGTTCAATAACGATAATTTGTTCCTGTAATGACGTCATACGTACTATCTTTTGCTGATGTATGAATGGATACCCTCACTTTGGAGTGATGCAGCTACTAGCGTAATTGCTACGATGCCTGACGGGAGTCCTGAAATTCACAAAAATGCAGTTTTTTTTAACAAGAACGTTTTCGAATTATCATAATTAACTGTTATCGTGATATTGTTTTCTTAAATTTCATTAATCAGATCGGAATTCGTCTTTACAGTATAAATATCTTTCTTATACTTCATTATGCGGTCATTTCCAATAGAAGTAGCATTCAAAACGGAAGAGTAACGCATTGTTTTGTTCTCTAGTAACGCAAAATGACATATTAAAGGTAATTAGCGCCGTCTTTAGTTCTATGGTAACATATTCTCACTTTAATTCATTGACTAGCAATAAAAAAACATAAGAGTAACGCAATTTTTAGTTTTAGAGTAACGCAATATGACAGGGTATGTAACGCATTCATAAATTAGTTCTAGGATAACATATTCTCACTATAAACATTTACAGTGCAAAAATGTGAGCGTAACGCATTCTTAAGTTTTATGGTAACGCATTCTCACTACAATCGATCATTTACTTACCGAAGGCAAAAACGTAAGCGTAACGCATTTTAACGTGAACATCAAAGACCTTGACAACCATTCGGTAAAGAAAAACACCTTCCATCAGCATCCAGCAGAAGCACACCAAGTAAAACAGATGAATGAGTGATGCTATAAACGTGCACAAATCCTGCAATATATAATGATGTAACTACTTTTTAAAACAATTCGCTTTGAACATCAAAAACACCACAATTAAATTGATCATTATCATCGTCAACAGCAACAGCAACAGCAACAGCAACAGCAACAGCAACAGCAACAGCAACAGCAACGACGACGACAACAATTAATAAATTATTATCTATATATATCCATTACCTTGTTTTCTATCTTATCAATCCCTGCCAGAAAAATGATTTGTGCAGTTGCCAAAGCACAAAGGAAATTGACGCGAATCTGAATCTTCTCGTGACGTAGATTTCTTAATTAGAAAAGCACAATTTGTTAACCTCGCTCAAAAATCGCAAATATAAACGTAAAATATTTAATCAAATGCCTCCTATTACTAAGAGAGTCCAAAGCAGCTCATTTTTTATGACAGTGAATTGGATGATTAAGGCTCTACCAGAAGATCCCTTTTACCAGTTTTAAAAACTCTCTCCAACTAATTCTTCCACTAATTGACCTATAACATTATGACATCACAGCTTGTTTACATGGGCAAGAATGATAGGAATTTAGGCGAAATTATCTTTCGTTCAGGATATTTAGCTGCCCCCTCTGGCGAACATGATCCTTAGCGTTAAAACAATAGATTGTTTTGGTGTGACGTCATAGTGTTATAGGGTAATTCTTTTCACTCATTATCGAATAGAGGCTTTGCACCATCACATGATGGCAGCCATGACAGAGTGCACACGAAAATATCGTCTTTTTCCCTTTTTCCTCACAGTAAAGTAACACTGTGATGGCTTCCTCCAGTAGTGACAGGGCGAGACCAAAACTATATACAAGCTATAACTATGCTAGCCTGCGTACAGCTGAACTAACTAACTTTACGAGAACAAAGTCCAGCTGCACGCACTCTACAACTATGCTTCATCCACTTACAGGAAAAGACAGTAAAGTAACACTGTGATGGCTTCCCCCAGTAGTGACAGGGCGAGACCAGCATACGTGATGATTAGCAGTGCTTCCTTGTGTTCTGAGGAAACCTAAAGTATATGAGGGAAAAAAATTAGGATTGAATCTCCCTGACAACATTTTGGTATTTCATATATTATAGAGTACCAAAGTTAGACGTCATCAATCCCACATTTTGCTAATATTCAGATTTGAATGTTCAGAATTAAAGAGAACACAATTGCCTACATTTTTCCAACTTTAAGGTTGTTAATTGTAAGCTGTAGAAATATGGAAATGTTTGGGCTCTTAAGATATAGAATCCCCGTAGATGTTCTTTTAATTTGCATGCCGGATTTCAGCACCAAATAAGAGAAAATGCATGGGTATATTTTGAAATCATAAATAATACATCAAGACAACCAATTCCCTTGTAAAAGACCTCCACCAGGTGCGTAGGGGGAC